GCTCCGGCTGCCGCCGCACACGAACCTGTACCGGCTCCGCGAGCGCTGCCGCGCCGCGGGCGTCGTCGCGCTCGTCTGCGGCCGGTGGCGCGCCGCGTGCCGCGGCGGCGGCGACGGCGACGACGACGACGCGGCCGCGGCGCGCTGCGTGGGCTTCGGGTCGCTCGCCGTCGTCGAGTCGGCCCTGCTGGCCCACGCGGCCTTCGAGAGCGACGCCGGCGCGGCCCTCGCGCGCCTCGCCGCGCGGTGCCGCCGGGTCTGGGTCCGCTGCGACCCGAAGTGGCGGCCGGGCGGCGTCGCGGCCGGCGACGCCGCGCACGCCTGGGTCTGGCGCGACGCGTTCCCGCGGGCGCGCTGCGTGTCCCTCAAGAACTGCCTCTGCGCGCCGGAGCTCCTCGCGGCGCTCGCGGGCCGCGGCGCGCCGCCGCTGCTCGCGCTCGACGTCTCCGGCACGGCCGTCGACGACGCGGGCCTCGCCGCCGTCGCCGCCGCGCAGCGCCGGCGCCCGTCCCTGACGTCGTTGTCGGTCTACGGCTGCGGCAACGTCACGGGCGCGGGCCTCGGCGCCTTCGCGGCGCCGCCGCTGCCCCTGAGGCGCCTGAGCGTCGGCGCGAACCGCCGCGTCGCGGCGGAGCACGTCGGCGCGCTCGCGGCGTCGGCGCGCGCGACGCTCCGCGAGCTCGACGCGTCGCGCGTGAGCCGCTCGGCGCTCGGCTTCGGCTTCGAGGCGACGCTCGCGGTCGCATGTGCGCGGACGACCACGGCGGCGTGGCTCGCGGACGCGCTTGACGTACGCGCGACGGCGGGACCGAGCGCCGTCGAACGGTCCAAAAATCGCGGAAATCCGTCGCGATCGCGGCGAGCGGCGCGCGGTTTCGCGGGACCGCGCGCGCGGACGTCGGGGTCTGGGCGGTTTCGCCGTTTCCTGGACGTTGGAGCTCCGGGGCTCGGCGTTCGTGATTTCTATAAGGTGCGCCCGCCGGGGCCACGGCTCCAGGAGCGCGTCGGGAGGGCGTCCGGGCGAAAACTCGCGCATCGGTCAAGTGCTCGGGCCGGGGCGTCAAGACGCGTCACGGCGCGGAGCGCCGCGACCCGGTTTAGGCAGGCCCAGACGACGAACAACAAGCCCATGTTACCCGGGCCGCGCCGCGCGCCGGGGCGGCATGCCGGGGGCGGCTCAATTGGGAGGTGGGGCTCAGGCTGGCCGGGCGCGAAGCGACCGCGGCGCGCGGCGCGCCTGGCCCATGCGCCGCGGCGCCGCGGCCAACGCGGCCGGAGCTCGTGCGAGCGCCAGTCGAGCGGCGTGGCGCGAATCGCGAAGCGGCGCGAGCCGCGCAGCTCGACTGGCCCACGCGCCGCGCCAGCCGGTGCCCTGCGCCGCGGCGCCGCGGCCAATGCGGCCGGAGCTCGTGCGAGCGCCAGTCGAGCGGCGGGGCTGGCGCGAAGCGCGAAGCGGCGCGAGCCGCGCAGCTCGACTGGCCCACGAGCCGCGCCAGCCGGTGCCCTCGAGCGTCGACGGGTCGTCGGCGCGACAAGCTTTGGCGCGGCGCGACAGCGGAGCGCGGGATGATGCGCCGGCGAGTCGCAGGGCTGGCGTGAAGCCCTACGCGCGGCACGGCGCGGCGTCCATGCGGCGCGGCGCGGCTGGCGCGGCCGGAGCTCTTGCACTCGCGCGCGTCGCCAGGGCCTCCGCGGCGGCCGCCGCGGACTGAGTCGCCGCGGCCTCCGCGCCGCCGACCGTGGTGCTCGGCGTCGCGCCGTCGCTCTCCGGCGCCTGCCCTCCCGCCAACACCATCCTAGTACACGCCGCGCACGCCGGCACGCTCGCCGGCGAAGTCGCTGGGGCTGCCCGGAGGTCTGGTACAGCCCGTGGCAGCCTCGCAGATGCCTCTGGCAGCCCGCCCTCGGCTCAGGGCGCGTCGCCGCTACGCCGCGGCTCCACGGCCACTTCCGACCCACAGATCGCCAAGGCACTGACGCAACGCGGCGTGTTTCGGGCCATGACGCCACATGCCGCCTCCGACGAGCTGGAATCAAGGCCTTGGGTTCAACCCTTGGTTCCACATCTAGACCCAAAAGTTCCACATCTAGACGAGCTCTCCGTCGTCGTGAGCCATTGATTAGCGGATACGGAACCATCCCTCGTATCGTGAACCGCCCCGTCC